CCCCCTCTTCCTCCCTCTTCCTCCCCCATTTGTCTCTCTCTTTGCCACCATTGTTCCTTTGTTCTGTTTTGCTCCTGCCTCTCGACACCATCCTGGTTTCTTTTCTTTCTTCTGTTTTATAGGTGAAACTTCACTGAACGATTTCTCTTGCGTTGCGGGGCCCCCTGCTGACAGAGAGCAGAATAGGAATAAGTCAGTGGATCCTTCAGTGTGATGTTCAGACTCTGAGGATCAGCACAGATCTATGGTTTGACAAAAGTGTTGCCAAGGAGGGTGTTGCACTTCTATTGATTAGTCATGAGGGGGCGTCACTGCAGCCTCTCCGTTCAATAGAATAAAAAAAAAAAAAACATTCCTGTTTTTTTTTAAATTTTTTTTTTCATTGTCTTCAATATGGTGTCAGTTGTGTTTAATATGGTCCTAAACTGAACTGGTCCACTGGGTCGGACCAGATTTATGAAAAACTCACCTGGTCTCAGAGGAAATTACATTTTATTTTCACTTTAACATTAAAGTTTCATTATATTTCCCTCCAACATCCCAGTAGCAGAGGGAAATATATACACACATATATAAACACACATATATAAACATATGTAGTCAATCAGAACTGGTTCAACAGGAAATCATCAGAAAAACAGATCCAGACTCAGAGTGGGTGAGACGCGGGGGGGGGAGTGGAGTGGGGGGGGTGAGAGTTGGGATAATGTTGAGAAGCAGGTTTGACAACATTGTTGTTGTTGACAAGTTCCATTCATTCATCTATCTATCTATCCTCTAACTTGGCACAGGTTGCCACCTGGTGGCTAAAAAGCTGAATTCCACTCATCTTTTATTGGTGTTGTCTGTAATCAGTCATTGTGACGTCATGATTCTAGTCCAACTCTGGTGTGTTTTTCACCTTGACCTCATTAAGACTCTTCATCAGCAACAGGTCAACCAGGGGCCCCACAGCTCAACAGGGCCCCCCAGTGGCTGCTAATGAAAACGATTCTTTGTTTTCTTTTGTTGTTTGTTTAAAAATGTTTATCCTGAAGTTTGTGTCGCTGCAGCAACAGGACAGACGTCGAGGAAGTGGAATCAAAGAGGAAAAAACTGCTGAAAAAATTAGAATTAAATGGTTATTAATTTAGTGAATCTTTACGACTCTCTCTCTCTCTCTCTCTCTCGTCCACTCCTGCAGAGCGGAGACAGCTGACCCAGGGCCCGTCCACGGGCGCCGTCATCGGAGGGATCCTGGGGGCCCTCGCCGTCATCGGCATCATCGTCGGCGCCGTCTGTTTCATCCGTAAACGTCAGGACGACACAGAGTGAGTCTTTGTTAGTCATGGGCCACTGCGTTGGTAACAGCCAATGGTACCCAATATATCAGCTGAGACCCACGATCGGCAGATGTGGCCCATATCCTGCAGCCCAATGACAGTACCACCTCGTTGAGCTCCACGTTGTCTTTGTCTTTTGTCAAATCAGGGGCCCCCCCAAGCACAAGCCCCCTCCCCCGGTGAAGATGGGCAGCTCCACGGAGATGGTGAGTGTCGGACGCCTCACACACACACACACACACACACACACACACAGTCGCGGTCGTTATGAGGCTAATGGCTATTGATTACACGTCCACGTTAGCTTGTGCTTTGAAAATAATTAGCTTGCATTGTGAATGATGACACCAGTGTGTGATGTCATTTCCCGCCGACTGCCGTTACTTAAAAGCTTGAAATTCCGTGGCGTTTGTTCAAAGACAAAGATTTTCTCTGTGTTTCAGGATCAAAAAAAAAAAAACGCTGAAGTAGAAAAATTGATTTTGTAATTATTTTCACAACAACTTCCAAAAAACAAAGAGAGTTACCGCAACACTGCCACTAATTAGCCACAAAGTTCTCGTAATTAAAGTATCGGAGCTCAAGTGAGAAGAAAGAAGTTGCCTAAAAATGGCTAATGGGTTAGCTAAACGGTTCAGTATCAATTCAAATAATGACAGTAATGAAACCAGAATAAAACAGACACAAATATCAAACCTTCACCGAGAAGATCGCGACAACTCAGGAATCACATCGCTAGGAATTAGCCCCGCACCTGGCTAGCAGTCAGTTTTAGTTTGACAACAACTAAATCATTCCAATTAGCCAAAAGATCAACAATTGTCAGAAACAAAAACACATAAATGATCCTGAAAGATAGCTAAATGTTAGCCACAGAAATGCTAATGGTATAGTGAGCAGAACTGTTAAAAAGTCTGCTAGCGAATTGCCCGAAAGTTAGCTAAAATATATTTGTTGTACTGAAAAACAAAGAGATGTTTTGAGTTGACATTGACTTCATCGTCAGCGGACTATCGATCGATTCACTGGTTCCTGCTGGTCCGATGGAACTGATTCTTTACTAAAATATTTTTCCAGATTATTTTTATCTATTTTCTTGTTTTCTTGACTTTTCTTCTACTCCAGCTGAACAAACCGTCGGCTCCTGCCACGGAGACGTTTCCACTGACCCCCGGAGATGTTTACTACGAGACCACGGGCAGCGAGCCAGTCACGGTAACACACACACACACACACATACACACACACACACACACACACACACACAATCTGACCTGTTGGCTTCACCGTGCGTTTGTCAAAGTCGACGTGATGAAAACGACCGCCGTCTGGTGAAAACATCCAGTCAAACATGTTGATGGTTGAAGGTCAAAGTTCACCGTGTTCTGTGCATGTGACGCCACCTGGGGACTAAAACAAACAACACACTTCACCGACCTCCCTCAGAATGACAGACAGAAAAACCTGGTCTGCTCTGATTGACCGGGTTTCACACGCATATCGCCACCTACTGGACTGGAGTGTGTATTGTCATGGTATGACCAGTGACTTTTTGAGATAACTCAGTCTACTCCTCACTCCTCGGTGAACAATTCGTTTTCTTATTTCAACCGATGAGAATTGACACGTATCTTTATTAATTTTTTTTTTCTAGATTAACGATACATCGCTACTTTTTACAAATGAACTAAAACAGTTGATCAACTCCAGGTTAAGAAACTCCCACCTCGTGGTGTTTTTTTTTCCCCTTGTCTGTCATGACCTGTGATCTCACCAACACCACCTTAACCCGGTTCTCCTCCACCCTGCAGAACCTGGACGATGAAACATCTGGAGCCTTAAACGGTGGCACGACTCCGGTCCTCGGAGATTTGGCCACGTATGACCACGACGTTGACGATTACCATGGCAACGACTTAGATTCGTCCAACCACGATCCGTCGGGTGCCAACATCGCCCGCGGAGAGAGTTTCGTATCTCCGGCCATGTACGTGTAGCCGTGGTTGCTACATCACCCCCCAACCACTAGGGCACGTGGGCGACTTCCTGAGCACCAAAATCTGCATGTGAAGCAACGGCGAGCGCTCGCGTTCCCACACCTGAGACGTTTCCACTGACCCCCGGAGATGTTTACTACGAGACCACGGGCAGCGAGCCAGTCACGGTAACACACACACACACACACATACACACACACACACACACACACACACACACACAATCTGACCTGTTGGCTTCACCGTGCGTTTGTCAAAGTCGACGTGATGAAAACGACCGCCGTCTGGTGAAAACATCCAGTCAAACATGTTGATGGTTGAAGGTCAAAGTTCACCGTGTTCTGTGCATGTGACGCCACCTGGGGACTAAAACAAACAACACACTTCACCGACCTCCCTCAGAATGACAGACAGAAAAACCTGGTCTGCTCTGATTGACCGGGTTTCACACGCATATCGCCACCTACTGGACTGGAGTGTGTATTGTCATGGTATGACCAGTGACTTTTTGAGATAACTCAGTCTACTCCTCACTCCTCGGTGAACAATTCGTTTTCTTATTTCAACCGATGAGAATTGACACGTATCTTTATTAATTTTTTTTTTCTAGATTAACGATACATCGCTACTTTTTACAAATGAACTAAAACAGTTGATCAACTCCAGGTTAAAAAACTCCCACCTCGTGGTGTTTTTTTTTCCCCTTGTCTGTCATGACCTGTGATCTCACCAACACCACCTTAACCCGGTTCTCCTCCACCCTGCAGAACCTGGACGATGAAACATCTGGAGCCTTAAACGGTGGCACGACTCCGGTCCTCGGAGATTTGGCCACGTATGACCACGACGTTGACGATTACCATGGCAACGACTTAGATTCGTCCAACCACGATCCGTCGGGTGCCAACATCGCCCGCGGAGAGAGTTTCGTATCTCCGGCCATGTACGTGTAGCCGTGGTTGCTACATCACCCCCCAACCACTAGGGCACGTGGGCGACTTCCTGAGCACCAAAATCTGCATGTGAAGCAACGGCGAGCGCTCGCGTTCCCACACCTGGGACTTCTTCTTCTTCTTCTTCTTCTTCTTCTTCTTCTTCTTCTTCTTCTTCTTCTTCTTCTTCTTCTTCTTCTTCTTCTTCTTCTTCTTCTTCATCTTCTTCTTCTTTCGTTGAGTTAAAATATTTTTAAGTTTTTAAAATTGAAACTTTCACATCGTGGTGTTTGGCATCTGGGTTTATTTCACATTTATGGTGAATTATGGGTAAAAATGTGCTGGTACCACTGGGTTCTTACCTTTTTCATATTTTTATTTTCTCGCGTGAACAAATGTTTGATAAATATTTTATTCATTCATACTTTAAAAAAAAAAAGTTTTTTTTTTAAATATAACAAAAGACACATAAACACAGCAGCTCGTACCAGACGTATTCAGGTGTGAATCATGTGACGCTCCTAACCATCCAATCAAATGTGACTCCACCTCCGTTTCTGGTTTACAGTAAAAAAAAAAAAAAAATCCAGAATTTGTCGTTAAAGTTTATGGGGAGAAAAGGGAACTTCAGTTTGATTCTAATCATTTCTTCAGAGTTTTTTTTTTTTTTTTCAAGATTTGAGAAACCAGAGATCGGTGTGTTTTTTTTTATGGGTTCTTTGATGAAACTTCTGTGTATCATCGACATATACTGTAACCCTGTCTGAAACAGCAGCCTCTCAGTCTGCAGGAACCCCCCCCCCCCCCCCTCTGTGGAGGTGGACGTTTGTTTTTCCTACCAAAAGCACAGACGTAGTCACACCTGCTGTCACAGGCCCACGGTCCGCAGGTTGAGCCACCCCCGCTGCAGCTGTTGGTTTGTTTGTTTGCTTCAGCATATATTAGAGAAATGCTGCCGTTTTGACCCACGGTGGCGACGCGCTCTGATATATGCGTCCGTTTAAACCTGATTTACATTTCAGCAGAAAAGAAAAACACAAAAAAACAAATCTAAAAGAAAAGTTGGGAAAAACAATAATAGAACAAAAACGCCTGACGTCTCCTGGTACCAAACGGTGTAAATAGTATTGATGATATTGATTTATGAATATATTGTTGGTGACCTGTGAAAAAATAAGTGTTTTATCAGTGCCTGTGTACAGGAAACGGAAACTTGTTTGTGAAAAATGTGAAAAAAAAAAAAAAAACCCACAGACAGAAATATTTTATTTGTGTATATTCACTAAATACAGTATATATTTACATATGTATGTATATATATATATCTACATATATGTGTGTATACATATATATGTATATATGTGGTGGGGGGGTTTGCTCCTTCTTTATATGAATCTGCATGGCATGATCGATGGCGTCTCTCCGTCTGCAGATATATACATATATGTGTTAAAAAAAAAAGAAGAAGAAAAAAAATCTGCGATGTTTCTGTTTGGTGTCATCAGCGTATCGTTTCATCTGTCGCCGTCACGCACGGCACCAACGACATGAGCACAAGTGGGGAGGGGGCGGGGGGGCTCGTTACTGTGAGATCATCTTCCTGATCCACAGCTTTGATTGGTTGAAGAGGTTTTTGACGTAGCCTCCCCCCCTCCTCCCCCTCTCTCCTCCCCCATGACCTTCAGACACAAGGTCAAATCTTTATCTGTGTTCAGTCTGTCAAAGAGAGAGTAAAATAAACGTCAGTTTCATTTTTTTAAATGTAATCAATGGCACAATTTTCTTCAATTAATGGCGTTTATGTAAATAATGAGAGTCTGTTCTAGGTCGTCCAGCTCTATAACAGGCCCACTGCTTCACTGACAGATGACCGTCACTGGTCCACAGTCCCTGGTCCACAGTCCCTGGTCCACAGTCCCTGGTCCACAGTCCCTGGTCCACAGTCCCTGGTCCACAGTCCCTGGTCCACAGTCCCTGGTGCAGACACCTAAAACCTGAACGGTGCGGTGTCAGTGACGGTCCCGTCAGCCACTCTGGTACCGACCATAAAGTACCATCGGTACCAGAGTGTCATCCAGGGGAATTAGAACTAATGATTTCAGCTTCTTTTGTCTGTAAATGAATTTCCTCGGTGAGTGAACGTTCAGGCGTCCCGTGGATTAACGTCGTTAGCTGGCGGCGCGTTGACGCTGCTGCTGCTGCCGCTGATGGATGGAGCGGACAGGAGGGGGCGCTCATCTGGGATCGTTATGTCAGACAGTGACTTAGTGAACGTTGT